TGAATTCGTCTCAGCGCTCTGAGCGAGAACATGTCTGTGTTAGTTTTGAAGTTGCTTGGTCAGTTTGGAGAACACTGATTGCCCAGAATCAGACTGCCCATGACACGAACTGAAGGTGCAGCGCTGTAACAAGCGTTCGGAAGAGGCGTACAAAAAACTGTTCCAGTGGTTGACATTCACCAGTGTCCCATATCGTAGGCACGACTGTAACCGACTTGACCGTATTATATATAATTCCTGCAAGTCACAGCAGAATAGAAGGTGTGAGTGGACATAATCAAATTCAGTTATATTTTCCCTTCTTTAATGGAGTACCAATAATATGTTTACAGTTGCGCAAGTCCATTATTCAGAAGTGATGTAAATCGATTTGAAAACCAACTTATGGTGCGGAAATGCAAAACTCTCCTCTATAGACGTCGACTACGTATGTCGTATCAGGTGAACAGTTGACTGATCGGGCTTCTTATGTAAATGAATTACAGCGTTCACTTTTTACATTATCTAGCTTTCTTCGTTATTATATCAGCTGTACATTCTTCTGTAATTTGTACTTTTTTAACCTATATTAACTGTTTGTACAGTGAACTGTTTCTCGATATGCCCCAAAGCCTTCTACTTCTTTACAGCGCTTAAGCGTATTTCCTTACTGTATGTGATTTGTAGAGTTGTTAGACTATCATAATAAGGTAAAAATCGTGCGTTGAAAAGTTGTGGACATACGATATAAACCTATCCCCTCAGGACGGAGGGTTTGGCCGCAATGGCTCTTTGTCCATGTGGCCGCACTAGCACTCCCACTTAGGTGGAATCTTAGTAGACCACTTCTGGTGTCTGGTGCACATTGGCGGGTAGCTTAGCTTTGTGGGCCATTGCACAGTAATTCTTTCTCGATCCTCCTTGCATGGGTTTGACGATTGGCCCAGATGGGTGAAGGAGAGAATGCGTCAGATAATGCGCAATTTGTTTATCACCATTCTTTATGCCAGCGGCACGCAGCGCACGTTATAGTTCGGGACGGATGACCTGAAATGTCTTATTAACTCAGCCTGCGTCAGGATTCATTTTCATTTGCTTGGTACATATCCTGTTTATCCGCATTTCCCACTAAGTCAGTGTCGTTTGCTTTTCTATAACTCCATTGCATCGGGAGGAAGTATCCCAATGAGGCTCTTATGGATTTCAATCCGTAATAGTCTTAGCCAATCTAAATGAATACCTGGATTCGTATGTTTTAGGGTTTTAAACAAAGGCTCCATTTGCATTACGACTTCCGAACATATTCGCCGATTGCTCCGAAGTACAACATTGTTTTCATTAGCGTCACATGTTCAACAGGAAGGGAAATAAAGATAAGCTTATCTACTGAATATTTAATAAATTCCACGCTTTCACGAGCACTGTGAGATAAAACATTTCATTGTGGAGACCTGCGGGGTATAGTTTGAAACATAACTTCTTAACATACCTTCCAAAACGTAATATTTTGTTCGAAAATCAAATATCTTTGAATTAGTTCTACTTTCTGCTAGGAACTTTGTGTATGTAGTTATATTCCGAACTTCTACTGTTCCCACTTCTTTTACTGGACTGGAAACATCGCCGGCGCAGACAATACAGGCGATTTGGGTTTCAGGCCAGCTAGTAGGTTTAAGTGTCCTGAGGCTACGGAATATTGTGCAGAAACTATTTCATTGTTTTTATGGGGCGCAAAGCTCTTGATTATATTAAACATAGATGACTGTCTATGAAATCGTCCCATACAAATGTCGTCATATCAGCAATTTGGACAGTTGGTTTTATTCCTCTAGATCACCTGATAGAGTTTTCTCTAAGGTGTGGTTATCAGAAGATGCCTGAAAAACCAAAGGCGTTTTTCGGTCATTATAGACTTGTTGAATCTATTAAATGTATTACTTTCAGAGGCCGTGGTGTGCAAGCATATATGCACTAGATCCTTCACCATTGTCAAAGTATTTTCTTGGTCTTGGGCTAATCTTTAAAGCAGCTGTAACGCCCCTGGACTTAGACAGAGCTGCATGAATGATGTGACATTTTTGGCGCACGGACCTAGGATGGAGATGGCGTAACTGCGTGCTGGCGAAGGCGGCCGGTGTCCCTTCCTCCCGTTACCGCCGACCCCCTCCGCAACGAACCGCCGCTCTCGACTCTCTCTCGCTCTCTCACTCAACGTCGGCTCCCCCGGCCCTTCCCTGCAGTTGCCCACAGCGCTGCATCCCCACCGGCTGTTTAGCTAGTATCGCAGGGTCGTCTATCCATCCAGACAGGTCACCTATTTGCTGTTCCTCGTTGCTCGTGTACATTAACATTTGTTATATACATTCTTCATATCAGTTGTTCCATTACACTATATCCATACGCGACGTACTCTCTTCTGCGTGTGAACGAGTTCCGAGAGATGTTAACAGTTCTGTTCAGGTCTACCTCCGTCAGGATCTCTTCGCGGCGTTTTCTTTCTCTGGTGTGTGCTACCCTCGACGTCCTCGGCCGCTACACAGCCGTTAAGACTAAATAATCTATACACTACCCTAGTTTATCTCCAAAAGTAGTTGCATTTTCTATTGTTATTTACAATATCGCACCATCGCCGCCTCTGTTGCCACTGCCGTTCTGTTGTCTAACTGTCGACCTTCCAGGATTCGGTCCGAAGGGCCGGGACAGGGCTTTCACCACAGCCTTACTGGCTGCTGTGTAAACGATCAATTTGTTTACTTAACCCTCACTCCCGAGACTCACGCCTCGGGGATAGCGTCATTTGTCGGTTGAAGTTTGTCCCACTCCAATGCCTCAGAACTAACTTTATACTCCAGATTAGCAGACGGCTGCTGTCGTTCTTCCGACTCTTGCTCATACGTCTCTGCCAGACTTGCGTGCCCGTTGGCCACTGGATCTAGCACAAAGCCAGTCAATGTCACAGTGCAACCTCTCAGGCCTTCCTCATTTGCTTCGAAAGGAGGAGGAGGACCACCTTGTGTTGGCACGCACTCCTCAGCTCTAGTGCACCCGAACCTGGATTCCAAAAGCGCTTCACCATTTAACTGTACTTCCAACATCTTAACAAAACACTCTCTGGCAACCGGCGTGCTTCATCATAACTCCCCGCCGTATTATCGTCTTTATGCACTATGTGCTTAAGATAAATATTATACTCTTTTGCCTGTATCCATGTTATTATTCCCCAGTTTGTGTGTGCCTCTTATTGGCCATCTGCGTTTTCTGGACTGTTACTCACTGTTCAAACCCTTTTTCCTGTCGATCTTTTTGCTGAATGCGTAGAACCAGGTTAGGCCAGAACGATGCTTGTACCTTAGCGGCCTGGGTATGTCTGGGAAACGGTTTCTACTAATCCGCTTATTATGTCGCCTTCATACGGTGACATGATGTAGAGACTCTCCAGTAGAGCCATATTTTTACCGTTTCGTTGCTCCTCAGAACTATGTGCTCGGAGATAAACTGGGCGGACCAATATTTTTTATGGAATACATTTTATTGCTGTATGCTTAACACCTAGTCACTTTACATGTTGTCTTAACGATGAAAATGCTTGGAATAGGTCGTATTCCAACGGGCACTTCACATACATTGACGCTTCGTTGGATACGCGTTGTGGCAAGTTGTAGTCCATCTTGCAACGCGGTTTTAATTGAGACTAGTATCATGTTTTCTTGCAAAGCCTGATGCCATGACTTTAGTTCAACGTCCCCAAGAGGAATACCACCACGAGGCGCTTATCTTTGGTCTCCAAGTAATCTTCGCGAATTTCGGAGCGACATCCCAAATTTCTTACTTATTTTGAAATATGTAAGCAATGCCGTTTTTAGATTTTTGAAGCGCATGCACCATCCTCGATAGTTCCTTCTTTGACTGGTCAGTTCACAGAGTTCGTTTAAAGTGAAAAATCTCAGATTTAGTCCGCAGTTTTCTCCCATAAAGTCCGCATAGTACTTCGGATTTCCTCGAAATTCCCTTATCTCTGCTGCTGTCGTCGTTATCCCAGTGAAGACTCATGTGAAGACTCATCTGACGTCTTTTTGGTCCCGACCAATTGTTAGGGCTGGGAGTTCAGAAATTGTTAAGTGAGGTTTAACCATCGCCTACACCTGGACGTAATGACTAATTGTTTGTTCCTCTTCGGTCGTCGTCGTGGTACAAATAAAATCGTTTATCTGACAGGTTATAGATGTGGAATTAGTTTTGTGCGGGTCCATATAGGAGGTGTGGAGTACGCTCGTGGGTAGTATTAACTGTTCTTTTTTGTAGCGTACTGTTAGCGACTCTGTCCGACAGAAAGTCGTGCAGCCTTGGCGAGACTCGCGATAATCAGGTCGTGCCTGTAAAGGTGTATCATAGAAACCAAATCCACATTTGATCTGCCAGTCTGAAATACGGAATTTTTAGTGAACAGACTTTTTTTACACTTCGTATCTGCTGCCAGGTTTGTCGATTATGTATTTTACGTCGTGTATTTAATGTGCAGTGAAGGAGAAGAGTCGAGCGCCGGAACACTTCGTTTATGAGCTTTCAGACTCGTGCAGGAGTGCATCGTCAGAAGTAGTAGCGGCAACAGAACAAGCGACAGTTTTAAGGCATGTAGGCCAATCATCGACCGACGGCGTAAGACTGGAGGTGACTACGCAGGGCTCTGTACGCCGGCGCCAAAATAGTCGCCCACGCCTGACACAGAACAGGTCGAGAATTGATTTAAGCCTGGGCTTCAGATGAGAACTCGGCCAATCGATTTATCGATATGGCGCCGGAGTACGGAGCCCTGTGTAGTCACCTCCAGTCTTGCGCCGTCGGTCGATGATTGGCCTACGTGCCTTAAAACTGTCGCTTGTTCTGTTGCTGCTACTACCTCTGACGATGCACTCCTGCACGAGTCTGAAAGCTCAGGACAATAAACAAAGTGTTCCGGTGCTCGACTCTTTATCTTCACTTATGCATACACCTGGAATTCCAAATTTCGCTTTGATTCGTTAATGTGCAGTTTCCGTTGCAGAAACCGAGCACTATCGTTCCTCCGGTAAGTCCTACTCTTGTTGCCCTATGCATCTGTACTTTGCAAACGAACCATTGTTTTGTCCGATTCAGTCTTAGCACGTTGGATAACTGTTTCTTCCCGCCGGCCTTTTGCTCGTGGTAACTTCTGACAACTGTACAACTGTTGTACAACTTTTTTTTTCAGTAGTATGGCCCGTGTGCTTCTAAGGCAGCTGCGCTCTCTCTCCTCGGAGTCTGTGACTTCTTTGACGCAACGTCTGCAGAAGACGGTGGATAGTTGGCCGGCAGATCTCTCAAAGGGCGAGCGCGACGTTCGTATCCACCTGCGGAGGCGTTGTCAAGAGCTTCTGACGGCCCTGCAGCAGGATCCAGTCAAGACCACCCCGTTAGTGGAGGAGGAGATTGTCAGCCTAACGCGCCTCATGCAGAACCATCATCGTGGCCAGCATGGAGTGCCTAACGGGCTGGGGGCCAGCGAGCAGGTCGGAGGGGCTCCCCTTATCGGGGCTACAGGACTCAGTCTTCCCGAGATCTCCAGGATCCTGAACGCTGGGGATCAGAATATTCCAAAAAGGTCTCTGTGGTCCAGGGTGTGGAGCTTTTTCAGCTAAAGTGACTTTATTACCCTTTAGCTTTTCTCAGGACTCAAAAAGTGGTAAATTGCCTAGGACAAGGCCCTGTTTTGAAAGTCGCCCTATTAACTTTTTTAGGGATCCCCACTATTGACACATTCAGTTTCACATATTACACTTTTGTATAAAATGGGTTGGTTTTCAGAACTGTTTATCGGCGCATCATTTATTGCATGGTTACAGATTTTTATCACGTCATTATGACTGTCATAGTCTCTGAACATCCCTATTTCCCTTAGTCTGGTAGCACGTCGACTGTCTCCTATCGGATCTCGCGGCGAGCTATGAGCGGAATTTCATCTGTGGGCATAGGCCCATTGTGTCGCAGAGTATTCGGACCTCTCGGAGTTATGTGCACTCATTGCGATGTGAAACTGTCAGGCATTTCTTTGACCTCAGCTCGTAGGAGGCGATAAGCAAGCGCACTATAATCAGCATTGCTATAATCTCGGGCGAGGTCTTACTCTAGTAATCATGGAGTACATAAACTGGGCCGGACATGTAGCGTAGCTAGACTGAACCTGTGTGGTAGTACAGTGCGTGACCGATCTCATGAAATGTTGGGCGAAATTTTGAAATGCGTTTTCGATTAGGAATGATTACTTAGGTGGGGTTGTAATATTGATCGTCATGAGGCAAAATCCTAAAGTATTTCAGACTCGCCAGGATGTCGGCTTTTGATTGAGCTTCTTTTCGCTCCCCCTGCAGAAATCACATTCGGTAAAAACTGACTACTTAAGTAGCATGCATTTTTCCTATTGATTTTTGATGATCGTGTAAGTTCAAGTAGATTTTATAGAAAACATGCACATAATATTTTTTCTTTTACTCCTTTGGTTGAAAACCACATTGCCTTGACATGTTATACCCGAACAAGTGTATGTTTAGGTTTTAAAAAAGTTTTCCAATTTCCGAATAATTTTGAGCCTGATCTGCCATTGCATTAGCGTTTGGCGATTTCAGTCTACAAGGTGCACGCTTTCCGCGTAAGGAAAATCAATATCCCTTTATGCCTTTAAGAAGGTACCACATAGAGTTCCTAAAATTGCTCAATGGATTCGGACTGTGTTGTGCATTTGATTAGGAGCGTTGTAAACGGACATGTGCGGTCCTGTATGCATGGACATACACGGTCTTAAAAAATTAGAAACTTTTTTACAACTCAAATATACGCGTTCTTCGGGTATCACCTATCAAGACAGTGTGATTTTCTACCAAAGGAGTAAAAGAAAGCATATCTTTGTGTATGTTATCTACAAAATATATTTTAATTTACAAGCCCATCGAAAATCAATAGGAAAAATGCATGCTAAAAAGTGCGGTTTCTGCAGGTCAAAAAGGAGTGCACCCAAAAGCCGACATCCTATTGAGTCCGAAATGCCATATGCTTATGCTGCATACCTATCATTATTACAACCCCACCTTAGTAATCCTTCCTAATCGAAAACGCATTTCAGAATGTCGCCCAACATTTCACGAGATCGGTCACGCACTGTACAGTCCTGTCCGGCACCAGCAATGATGACGAAGTGAGGATTAATGGTAAGCTTTTCATAGGCCTCAACCCCTGACAGCCAGTCGTCTTATCCGGACAACGTATGCATGCTTTGCGTAGGTTCGAATATGGTTCAGGAGGGCGCTTGTGAAAATCATCGCTCCGACGTCGATTAAGCGGATGCAGAATCCCGTCTTGTACCCATTATGAAAAAGAAGTATGTTCGAATGGTCCCAGTCCCGGAGACAGAAACAGTGTAACCCAATCATTGAAGTCTGCACGTTCAGAAGTAATACCAAGACAGTCCTTTTAGACTGCAGTCTATAGTATCTATTTAGCTGCGTCTACGTTGCTCCAATCTCAGCGACAGAAGACGGCCCCCAGTTGACGTCGAGGTGGGTTATGGCCAACCGGAAGCCGAATAAACTAGCCCAGTTCTCTTATTTCGCCTAAGTTCGATTTCCTCCTGATGTCTGTTATGTGCTGCTGTGGCAATCAAGGATGTGAGTTCGTCATCCGATCGTTGAGCCTCAGTCATCAGCGTCAGGTCTATGGCGTCTGTTGTGACAGAAGCCATCTCGATTCTTGAGAGAGTATCAGCAACCACATTTTCCTTACCTTGTACATGTTGGATGTCGCAGGAAAACTATGAGATGAAATCACGCTGACGAATTTCACGGGGCGAGTATCGATCGGGAGAGGCCTTCAGTGCAAAAACGAGTGGCTTGTGATCTGTTAGAACGACAAATTCGCGACCCTCGATGAAATGTCGGAAGTACCGGATGGATAAGTAGACGGCGAGAAGTTCTCTGCCGAAGACATTGTAGCGGGTCTCTGATGGGCTGAGCTTCTTTGAGAAGAAAGCCAGAGGCCGTAGAACACCACTAACAGTTTGCTGAAGTGATGCATCAACGGCAGTGCTGGAAGCGTCTGTCATGAGAGTTAGTTGGGCATCAGCGCGGGGGTGGGCAAGCAGTGTTGCGCGCGCAAGTGCGGCCCTGACGCCATTGAAGGACTTAACGGCCTCTTCAGTCATCACCAGTGTCTTCTTGGAGTAGGTCAACAGGCTGTTGAGTGGCCGCAGTATGGTGGCACCCTGGGGAAGAAAACGCTGATAGTAGTTCACCATCCCCAAGAAACGGCGTAGTTGGTTGATGGTTGTCGGGACGGGGAACGTTGATAAGGCCGAAACCTTTTCTGGGACAGACATTATCCCATCAGAGTTCACTTAGTGACCCAGGAAGATTAGACTTGGGACTCCAAATTCACATTTAGCAGCATTAATTACAACACCGAAGGAGTCGAGTCGTTCGGAGAGTTGTCGAAGATGAACCTCGTGTTCAGCAGCGCCATAGCTAGCCACCAGCAAATCATCAATGTGGGCGTAGACGAAGTCGAGACCGCGCAGAACCTGATCAATGAATCGCTGGAAGGTTTGAGTGACATTCCACAATCCAAAGGGCATACGGGTGAATTCGAATAACCCAAAGGGAGTGGTCACTGCAGTTGTACAGGAGGTGTCCCAGCGGGCGTCCCGACGGGGGTGGCCGTGTGTCAACAGCTGTAGCGGCCATCGTTCGACAAAACGGAGTCGGAGAAAAAGGGGGACTTGAGCGACTGCTACACTGCTGCCGTAGGTTTCAGTGGATTCTCAATAGGCGTCGTCTGAAGATGCGGTGCTTCAAAGTTTGGCGTCCAACCCATCTTTTCGTTTGCGGCTGCTCTGACCAGACTGAACATCCTAGTTATCAGTAGTGGTATTCCTGACTAATGTGCACTCATGCAAGCGAGGCAAACTGACATCAGGGTTTTTTGACAGGACAAGCTGTCAATGGTGCCCCGGTAAGGACGGCCGCGGCTAGGTAACAGCATGGGAGTTCGCAAACATCTTACTTTCTGCACATAGTTACTTACAGTGCATGACCGATCTCATGAAATGTTGGCCGAAATTCTGAAATGCGTTTTCGGCTAGGGAGGATTAATAAGGTGGCGTTGTAAGATTAATGAGTATGTGGCATACTCCTGTAGTATTTCGGACTCGCCAAGATGTCCGCTTTTGACTGCACTTCTTTCTGACTTCCCGCAGAAACCGCACTCGGCAAAATGACTACTTAAGTAGTATGCATTTTTGCACATTTATTTTGGATGGTCTTATAAGTTCAAATAGATTTTATAGAAAGCATATGCAAACTATGCTTTCTTTTAC